GTATACATTTAACATTAAAGTTTTAAGTTTTTTCCCAACTTTTGGTGATGGTGCTTAAGTAGGAAATCGATTTGTAAATATATTGTCTAATTCAAAAATATATTGGTAAAAATTACAATCTGGAACCTTTAACGATGAAAACATAGACATAGAGCTGTGTTGATGTGATTTGAAGTGTGTGTAAAAAAGTTCATCAGATAACTTTGTGGTAGATCTGCCATATCTTATACACGTTTCACAAGAATGCATTACTTCATTATTAAATAACCAGATATATATGTAAAAGCATTTATTTCTGGCAATTCTTATGATCTATAATTGGTAGTATCAATGGGTAACGAATTAATTCGAATTACCTTTTGGTTTTCAGGGAATATTGTTTTTAAATCTTCAGCTGTTATTTAATTTAAAGTACTCAGTACTTGGTCTATGTCTTCCAAACAATTTGCATCTCCATTATATTCAAAATAGCTTAATGAAAATAATTTTTTGAAGGTGAGCTGTAACTGAATAGTTGTGGGGTTTAGACAGTTACTATTCTGAATTCGCATAGTACCAAATAAATTTTCAAAACAATCTTGGTTCAATCTCTTCATCATATTCTTTTGATAATATATTATGTAATTTAATTAATCCTGCTATTGAAATCATCCAACCTGTCAGAGATTTAATGTTGTAGCTTTTCTTAATGTTGTGCCATTGCTTTGTTGTTGTATTAAATTTTGGTACATTTATATTTTTAATAAGAAATTAATTTGATATTCAGCATTTTTAAAAGGTAAGCAAAATCGATTTGCCCTCTTAGGTTCTGATTCATCGTCGTCTTCTTGTGGCTTTATTTTCATTCGAGAATTAAATATATTAAATAAATTATCAACTTCATCTATTTCGTGGAAGGGGGGTTATACAAATCTTAGTGAGTGGAAATATGCAGGTACTTTTTTTTTAAAAAAATTGGAGGGCTGATCTCGAGCAATGCATTTTGATGATAAAAGTGTTCGTAACATCATGCCTTACCGCCAAGCTTACAACATCATTCTTGTCGCTCCGAAATGAAGAAAATAAAAGTGAAAGGGTGAGTGTCGCTTCTATAGTGTAACACTATATATAGAAGTTCTATGCCTAAAGTGAACATAACAGAAAGGGCCACAAATTCGTATTATTTTACGTATCAGTTGTGTAACCAGTTTATCTTTAATCATGATGATAACTAAAAAAATAATGATACAATTTAAAATAACCTATAATTAAAATTTAATGTGAGTACTTGAATAATGAAATAATATTGATGTGATAATTATTTTAAATTTATTTTTAAATTTAAAATGTTATCACTGGAATCGATAATAATTTTGGTATCGTTGGTATTGCATTTTGGTATAAAACCCACGAAACGATGATGATCGTGATAAATGTGATCACACGATCATAAAACTAGATACAACACGACACGACATGACACGGTGTAAGTGTGAACCCCCCTTAAGATCATCGTCGTCGTTTTTCTGCTCCCAGATCGTAGGGTAATTTAATAATTATAACTTATTTTTAAGTACTTGAAATAGACATACATTATATGGTTTAATTTAGAATTTATACAATTAAATAGATATAAATAGTGTTGTACATAATAGTCATACTACAGTAGTACAGTACATGGGAGTTTTTATGTCCCGACAAATTCAACAATTTTTTTAATTTAGTTTATTTAAATGTTAAGTAATATTTGAATATTACTATGCCGTCTGCTTGTGCTTGAACCTTGAATTAAAGCGACGCCGTCGTACATTGCAATAAACATCAAATTATTTTATAAAGCTGGGAAAGTCACTCTGATGATTATTGAATATCCATCGGAAATTAAATAAGGAAATTTTAAATTTTAAATTTTCTCAAATAGCTTATACATACCTAACCAATGCACTCAAAATAGTAATTATTAATTTCATGCTAGACAGTATTCGGAGAAAAAACTCGGAATTTTACAAACTTTAATTGGAATGGTCGGTTTACGATAAATGTGATGCATTAGGCACTGAATATCTCTATGTTAAATCTAAAAAGTAGTAGGTAATCACATTTATTTATTATACGATTTTTGTTTAATAACTCAAAAAAATATGCTTGTGCTTCAAATATTTAAACACCACCTTTATTAATTATTAAATTTTTTTTTTTTTATTAAGAAAATATTACAATCTGTATACATAATACAATAAGTAAAAATGTCTGAACAATAAGTTACAACGCATGAATATCGTGCATGAAGAAGGAGCCCATTGACACCACTTCAAAAAGAGAAAGAAAAATAGAATTGGAAACTAATTTGTGCTAAGATGAGTTAGAGAAGGTCTCTAGCCCAGTTTCTTTTGAGTCGACGTAATGGGTTAATAGGGTTAGAGGGATTATGGAGATAAGATATTAGAGGATTAGGATGGTTTTGTGTGTCCCTGTGGAATTTTTTAAAGTAGCAAGAAGCAAGTTCAGGAAGTGTTAGAATTCTTAGATAATTATTAAATTAAAAATTAAAATAATAGGTACTTTATATATTGTCGTAATTTAAATTTTAAAATTATAAATTATTTTGGTTAATGTTATACCCATTCATTTCATTATCTTAATGATCTAATCTCAAAAACGGACCTCTTTGATATACAAATTTGTAATATTATATCTATCCATGGTTTTATCATATTGACGTAGTATAAATTATAATGCAATCCGTTTTGATTGTCGAAGTAGTTGCAAAGACGCAATCGATCTAAAATTTCAGTTAGCAAAGCTGCAAACATGAACAAGAAACATGAAGCGATCCGTACGGTTTTTTTTTTCATAATAAATCTCAATATTTTAAGACTTAAGTTCAGTCGTATTTCTGATTTATTCCGCAGTGCACATACAATATCAGGAATTCCGACGAAGCCCGAAAGCGTCGATGTTTAAAGTAATTAATATTGGTTTCATATTTTTTTGGTGCTTAAATTTATTTTTTATACTTCAAATAAAAATTTAATTTCATGAAAAATAATATGCTACCTCTGTGTAGACACATTATTTCTGAGAGCAAATGCATAAATTACGTGAGATCAAATAATATACAAACGCCGCTCGTCGTCGTCGTTTTTCTGCTCCCTGATCGTAGGGTTATTTTATAATTATAACCTATTTTTAAGTACCTACTGAGAAATAGACATTTATTAAATAGTTTAATTTATAAATACTCGTTATAAGTGATTACTCATAAGTCACAATTTTAATTTAGAACTTGTAATTTTTTTTAAATCCAAAGTTGCCATTGCTGGATACTATTAATTTAGTGTTATATATGAATCATTGTTCTATTATATATTTATATTACATTATATTATAGTTGTATCTAAAAAATAAAAATGCTCACAGAGTGGTAAACTCAATATCCTAACCAGTAATCACCCCGTACGATGCGTGATTATGAAAAATATACTTTTATACTAGCATAGGTAGGTATCTTTGTATAATATTGTGTAATATATAGACACAGGCGTTCAAATATCCTAAAATTTTGTAGTTATTCAAACCTAGGTGTGTACGAGTTAAAAAATTAAAGTTATTTCAATTTTAACACTTTAACTTCTTCAAGATTTCGGGCGGAGCGATGAATGTATTGATTTTACAATTTATTTTTTAAAGTTTTTTTGTTCCTGTTTTCACGTTATTTTTGGAGAGTAAGACTGTAAGAGTGCTTCGATTTTCTTCAACAGCATCTTTTCTCCTAGAAATGTGAATAGTATCGGTACTTCAAAGGGTCCAAATAGAAAAAGAAGAAATCCTAGGAATTGCAAATAGTTTAGTAAAAAGTTTCTTAGAAAACCGTTGTCAACAGGTTCGTATTAATGATGTGCTGAGTTCCTCAAAACTTTTAAAATTACGGTGTTCCGCAAGGTACTGTCTTAGGACTATTGCTATTCATTATATATACAAATGGCTAATCTAATTTATAAACTGAATGCTCTATTTATTGCAGTTTTGCGGATGACACAACTATTCTAATTCATAATTTAGATAAAACTAATTTAATGCGCAAAGAACCAAAAATTAGGACATCGGTAAAAAATTGGTTTAATGCAAATTCCTTAGAAATTAATAATAAAACATGTTATCTATCTTTTTCCATATTAAAAATTTGAAGTCTTGACATAAATGAACCCATTAAAATACATGATGATATTATGTCAAAATACTGTATATTCTACGGACACCTGTAATTTTAACTATACACATGTATAAGAGGTGCAGAATCTGTGAAGTATCTTGGTGTCATCATTGACCAATTTTTAAAATGTTTCGTAATATGTATGTATGTATTTTTGTCCGTTATGAAATTGTTGGATTAAATATTAGTGTCCGTTATAGACAGGTCGAAATACATTAAAATGCCTATCTTTTTGACGAGACCTGGTCATTTTGTCCGTTAAGAGAAGTGTCCGTTATATATGTAGGTATAGGTGTCAGGTTTCACTGTAATACTTATTGCATTTTTAATTTAAAGAAATCTCATGATAAAGAATTATTAACAAATCTGAATTTTTATAAACTTGACAGCGTCAGTTTCAACCACAATTATTCTACCCGTAGTACAATAAACAATTTATTTAAAATAAATAAATTTAATACCGAATTTGGTAAAAAAAATCCATTTAATATAGGTATACATTTATGCATGCAATATCAAATCCCTATTAAACATTTTAATAATTATGATCAATACAAAAAGTATGTTAAGTATTAGATAAAAAAATTGTTTGTAAATACGCACGAATCAATTGCATTATATTTCAACATTTTCGAGTTTATCTGTTATCATCATTATTATTATCATTATTTATTCAATGTAAATTTATATACGCTTACAAAATAATTGGGTTTCCACGATAACACATGTAGTGTAAACATTTATAATAACTGTAATACATTCATATTAATAATATTTGTACAACAACAATCTTTGACATATAAAAACGATGAAAATTATAATCATTTTATTACTGGCAATTAAAGTAGCATATTTATCTGGAGAAGGTTTGAATCATTGCACTAACCGAAATTTAGTACACAATGGTGTTCAATATGATGATAAAAAGTATCCGTACGTAGTCACAATTCAAATGACAGGTGGGGGCACAAGAGGGTATTGCACGGGTTCAATGGTAAAAAAATTGTACGTATTGACCGCTGCTCACTGTTTTGATGGATATAAAGTAGGAGATGTAAAAGTAAGTATACAAATTATGTAGTATTTCCATTGTAATTAACTAACCATACATTAAATCATTCACCAAAACGAATTTAAATAGATGGAAAATAATATTCCAACTTCTATATAGGTATTTCTGGGATCAAAACTGAATAAGGTTTATCAATATGCAGCCAAGCTGTACGTGCCCAAATCGTACTCATACACGAATATTATGTTTTCAGACGTAGCTATTATTAAAGTAAGCTTAGTTTACTTTTTCTTAAACAAAAAGTATATCTGTTTGACTGTACTTGACCACCTATCGAGAAAATCCGCTCTTACAAGCGATGACACAGCCAGGATTAACTTCCAACGACCCTATATTGTAGATAGCAGGGGCGGACTGGGGCAACATTTTGGCCCGGGAAATCTATATTTCGACCCGGCCCTTGCCATTTCTCGTCATCAAAAAAATGTAAAAACTTAAATATACCAACGTTTTATTCAATGAGGAGTGCAGCCTCTACACATTTTCAATTTTCCCAGAAAACAACTTAAGATTTTAGATTCTGGGTGGAACGATGAATGTATTGATTTTACAATGATGTGTGTTTTTTTTATTTTTTTTAAATTTTTTTTTGTGTCTGTCATCACCTTTTAGGACAGTAAAACTGCTTCGATTTTCTTCAACAGCAACTTTTCTGATTGGAAAGGGAATCTAGTTGGTACCTCGGGGGGTCAAAAGTAAAAATTTCCCAGTAGTTTTCAAAAGCGACGTGAAAAACAAAAGAAAAATTAAGGAAAGACGGGGATTTTTACGCAAAATCGATTTTGGTTTTTGGTGTAACTCTAAAACAAATAACCGTAGATATATGATATTTTCACAGGTTGTTTATATTTGCATTTTCTATACACGGTAAAATTTTGAAAATAATTTGACTCTTTTTGAACTGTTTACGGACATTGTCAGTTTTCAATTTTTTTAGTTTTTTTTTCTATAAATATCAATAAAATTTTATTTGTTATTTAAAAAAACTTGAAAATTTAATTCAAGGCTCCTAGTATATTGTTTCTAAGGCAGATGAAAAAAATTAAAAATCCTTAGTCACAGTTTTTTTTTATAAGCATTTAAAGTTCAAATATTGACAAAATACGTAAAAACGACGAAAATTTGGAAATTATTTTAGGTTAGAAATTCATAAAAAATTTTATTTTAAATCTAAGATTTTAAAAATTAATACAAGATTCCTCATAAGTTTGTCTACCTTTATCAAAAAAAATTTTTTAGAAGAAAGTCAAATTAAATTTTTATGAGCTTTTGAAATTCATATTTTTACAACATTTGATATTCACTCGATTTCTCATGTAACGATTTTCTGTTTTTGTTGTAATTAAAAAACGAATGGCTGTAGATACTTGAAAATTTCACTGAATGTTGATATTAGCATTTTCTAAACACGATAAAATTTTGAAAATAATTTGACTCTTTTTGAGATGTTTACGGACATTGTCAATTTTCAATTTTCTTAGTTTTTTTTTCTATAAATACCAATAAAATTTTATTTGTTGGGCGAAAAAGCTTGAAAATTTAATACAAGGCTCCTGATATATTTTTACAATAGCAATTGTAAAATATTTAAAATACATAGGCACAATTTTTTTTAATAAGCATTTAAAATTCGAATTTTGACAAAATTTATCAAAATCTCGAAAATTATTAATCACTGTAATTAAAAATTATAAAATGTTCAGTTTTTATAACTAAGGATTGAAAATTTAAAACAAAGATTCTCATAAATAGTTCATACTGTAACCAAAAAATCTACAAAATACGGTTTGTTGTTGATGTATAACGCATTTAACTACCAAATGCCTAGTGGATATTGAATGTTCTGATATGATTAATTTGGAATTTATTATATAAGTCAATTTTTTTTAAAAATATTTATGTTCATATACCTAGACTGACATACCGCCTCCGCTCAGAATCGTTTTTCTTATACAATGATATTGTATCATTGAATTCAAATTTAATTCCATCCATTAAACAGTGACCCACTTGTAACCTACTGTACAACAGAGCGACATCCACTTACCCGCTTTTTTTTTTTTATTAATTGTTTATGGCATCAACTACGAGCTTATTAGCCAGGGGTTTTTGGGACTGTTATGTTCGGAACTCGTGTGAAACTTAAGATTTGTTAAACTAAACTTACCAAATAGTTTCAATATGTAATTTTAATTTTGTTTAATATTAATGAAGTACTTCACAAATAAATAATATATTGGTAAAAGTCATTTAATCATAACATAATATTTAATACCTTATGTAAAAATATAAAATATTATGACACTTATATTGTAGTATATTAACTTTTATTAGTTATAACTAGATTTAACTCATTTTTCCTTTGGAAATAAATTATATTCATATTGCATACCTATTATTTAAAAAAAATACTAGGGAAAAATAATGATTTTAGGTAATAGATAGGTATTTACATTTTTAATGCTTATTTGCGGTTGATTGCAAAGATGTTCTTGCATTACTAAAATAATATATTATTCAAATTATTGATCATACGCAAACTCCTGATGGAGTATCAGCCGAACCAAAACCTAAAATCTATTTTTAAAAACCAAATGTAAACAAACAATTTTTCATACACGCGCGTAATGATAATACGAAAATATAAAATATTCATCATTTGAATTTATACCTATTGGTTATTTTATTTTAAGTAATAAGTAATATAATAATAACAAATTATTTTTGAACAGCGGCCCACCGGAAAAGTTCCCGGTTTCCCGCCGGCCCAGTCCGCCCCTGGTAGATAGTATAAAAAAGGTACAGGATTTAAGAGGACGTCATACCCGCAGGTTTTGCCTCCGCCTTTCAAGTGTGTAACATAGCAAACTGTACTCTCAGTAGATCACGTTAAGCTCCGTTCGTTTAAAAATTAGAGTGGATTGATCTGTTATGAAATTTAAAGAATGAAAATTGAAAATTTGCAAAAAGAATAGTAATGTAGTATGTAATAAAGTGTTATATTGGAGCATAGTACGTAGTTTTATTAGAGTAATATGATATGTATACTGGCGTACGTGACTAAGGGAACGGACGCTCGAGCTGGAATCTGCTTATCCAGCAATTCCTACCCTGGTCGTTGCACAGAAGGCTCCATGGTCACGGCCGCCCAGTTAGTCGTAGAGTTATACGCACTCAGGCAGAACCTCATTTGTTACACAGAAAATCTATGTAATAAGTCTAGAGTAATTAAGCATTTAAGATACAGTACATTGTAGTTTTCGTAATAATAAACACATCTTTTAGTAATTTAATAAGCGCCTTTGCGTATATTCTTTCAAAATACGTCCTTGCTCTCTTCACTAANTACTGGTGCTCGAAATTGTGTGTTTTGTTTTTTAATATCGTCCTTTATCAAATTATGTAAATAACTAAATTGATCATACGACATACGAAAGTATTGATGAAACTTTTCCGGGTCATTTATTAACTGTGGAAATAAGTTGGTAAATACACCTTTTTCATTTCTTTCCTTGTTAATAGGGTGCACCCAAAATCTGCGGTTCTTGACTGTTTGATTCAAAATATATGTTGCAACAACCGTTTCTTCTACTTCTTCTATCCAATCACTGTCAGATGAACTTGATGAATAATCCATAATGCAGTGGCAAACCTTACTTCTTTCGACAACAAAATGGTACTGACTAACAAAAATTAGGTTGTAAAGTGTGTTACCCAATTATTTTATCATACGATGCTATCACACGCGTTGTATTAATGTGTTCAGCGCTGTCTCACACGTCTTACCACGGCATGGTATGTAAAGGCATGTTAATACGTGGCGTGTGAATAGTGTGTCCCGACCTTAGACTGTAGTACTATACTGTATACTGTATAGTGACTATAGTCACCAATTAGTGGTTTTCGATACCGATTTGCCGATGGTGTTATTGGAAAGACCTAATGAGCACTAAAATTATCACACTATATTATCCGTTTATCGGTTATCAAAAAAACGTATCATCAAATAATACATCAATTATACCGACTATGACAACTAGTCACGTCACCGGTTGTAGTTCAAGTGTTCAACTTCAAAATTACTGTTCTTAAAATTATTTATTACGAAAAATAGTTTGTTAAATAGTGTTTAAGACAATGGATTTAATGACAGGTGAACGAAACAAGACAATTTTTATAGTTGAAGGACAGAAGGACATAACGGAAAATGTGCTTTTTGGAAACAAATTCGGGACTCAGTTTACCTATACCCTTTTCAAACTCAACTCAGTTTACCACAAAAATTGTACTTCGGACTCAGTTTACCTAGCCCCGGACCTTTAGCACTTAAAAACACAATAATAAGCGCTAAAATATGCACTTAAAACCCCTAAAATATGCATCAAAAATGTAAAAATATGCATTTAATATAACTATTATTATTTATTATTTTATTAATAATTATTTATAGCAATTAGTGTAGGTACTTAATATAAAAATTTAAAAAAAAATCAACCGATTGTTAACTTGTTTCTTGAATTTCCGAGGTTTTTTAATTTTATTCATCAACTAAAATGATGGGAAAAATTAAAAATTAAATTTTTGATTTAAATCAATAAATACATAATTTTACATTTAACGGGAATACCTTTAGTTTTAAAGAACGTTTAATAAGCGCAATATATTAAAATTATATAATATCACTCGTATCGCAACATATTATATACCTACTATAATACTATATAATATGTAACAATACGGGCAATTAGGCCATCATATTTTCAAACCACGAAAATTATAAGGAGTTGTGAGCTGTATATAGCAAATAAGACTACAAGTACGCTGCATCACTATTTTCTTTTTNAATAAATATTTATTTTAACGTTCCACCCTCTCACCACAGTAAAAAATTCTGGTAAATATAATATAATAGATAAATCCTGGTTACCCTTATCCTTGCATGCCTTATTTGCAGTAATATATTTATAGGAATAAGTTGCTGCTTTGTAAATCGTCTTGAAATAAAATATTTTATTTTTTTATAAAATAATTGTATGTTAATAAATTCATAACTTATAGTATACTATTTAATTTATTATTATGTAATGTACAAAAATATCTAATTTGTACATTCAAGTATATCCCTCTAATTTGAATATAGTATTATATAATATTTTTATTTAGCTACCAAAACCATTTCCAAAATTAAAAAATTTTTTGAAAATTGGTGGCCATCCGAAGGATTTTAAAGGTAACAAATCATTAACATGTACATGTATTGGATTTGGTAAGACAAGAGATGGTGAAAATGCGATGGGATTTGAGGGATGTTTGATGAACACTACAATCACGTATGGTCAAAAAGCTTGTCGAAACATTGACAAGTAATAAACACACACAATATTTAGTTATTATTTACTATTTATAAATTTTTTTTAAATAGTTTACAATTTAAGAAAGCTTGGAAAGAATATCTGTGTTCAAGAGCTGGCCGGATTACAATGATATGTTCGGGAGACAGTGGTGGTCCAATGATTTGCAAAAACAAGCTTTATGGAGTATGCAGTTTTACTTATAATTTCATGAATGGGTCGGATATTTGTGGCGGAGCTAACCTTCAGACGGTGCATACATTCTTACACTATCATTTAAAATGGATAAATAATATAATAAATCCGGGTGCGAATTCTGGGCTTTTGCTTAAACAGCACCAATTGCATACAATTGTAGCAATATCATTGTGTATTTTACTATTATTTTAAAATAACTAAATTTATAAAACATATTTTTATCAAACAAAATGATGCTGGATTACTTATTTGTATTCTTACGATCCAGATAATATCACTCGTATCGCAACATATATATACCTACTATAATACTATATAATATGTAACAATACGGGCAATCAGGCCATCATATTTTCAAACCACGAAAATTATAAGGAGTTGTGAGCTGTATATAGCAAATAAGACTACAAGTACGCTGCATCACTATTTTCTTTTTTTAGATCAGGTGAAATTTGTGAAATTGAAATTTCCAAAAATTTTCCAAAATATGCAAATTAAGCACAATACCATAAAAATAAGCCATTTCCGGCAAAATTAATGAAATATGCAAAAATATGCACATTCAAATTGTAGATTTGATATCACGGCATTGAGAAATGAATTTATTTCGCACTCTGCTATATTTTACAATAAATAAAAAAAGTATGCAAATGCTATAGGTAAGTCCCGAACCTTGGTCATGTTTTTTTCCTCCGGCATTTACCTTTATGTGAGTGCCTTAGTTAGGTACCTACATGGCTGTAAATATATTATATTATTTATTACACTATAGAGTAGTAGTATAATATAATCACACAATTTTTTAGCAAATACATCGGTGACTGCACACTATTATAGAATAATATTGTTTAATAACATATTAATGTCGAGCCCAGAGAGACCATTAAAGGCACAATTAAAGTATCCATTTTTTATTACTTCTGTAAATTTCAAAAACTAATTTTGAATTTTTTCAAGTCTTGACACTTCTAGAGTTTTATATTAAGTTATAGTTTAACCGTTAAGACTAAAAACAGTATTGTGAGATGCCGGACAAAAAAATGGACTAGAGACAGTAGTGTATCGAAACGGCCCAACGCAGAGTTCCATGTTCTGAATTGTATAGATTTAAACACTCCCATAGGCATGCGCAGACTTCGGTTTTAGGGACAGCAAGAGATTAATTCGGCGCATTCTTCAAATTCACATTCACCATTAAACCCAGCCCATAGTTTTACTTTTTTTGCTATTGGGTATCAAAATTAAAGTTGCATTGATTATTTATAATTTGTTTATTTGGATAAACAGTTGTACTGTTAGATACTAAGCCACTTAAGGTGTACTTTTCCACAAGCCTATAGTTAATAATTATTATTTATAATATGATAAAATAGACTAACATCAATGATAATATAAAGCATAAATTTTAAAAATTATAATAATTAAAGTAATAACAATTGGTTGTAAATAAAACAATAAAACCTCTTATTAACATTCATAATACAAACTTAAAATACTAATCTAGGCTCTACAAGTATTAAATTTTTTAATTTGTCAATTACACTCTCAATATTTACGGAAGAAGTTAATTCTTGCTCGACAAATAGAAACAATAATGAATTAAGTCTATCTTGTTTCATGGTAAATCTAAGTTTGTTTTTAACAATGGTTAGTTTAGAAAAACTCTTCTCACAACAAGTCAGTTTAACCAGTCAAGCCACTTATAAACAGAACCAGAGCAAGTACCTTCAGGAGCATCTTCTAATTGTTTCAAAAGTGTTATCTCAGAAATTAATGATTCTTTAGACATATGGAAATATTTACTCAATAAGTTAAATTCTGAGTTATAATTTTCTATTTTAATATCCAAATTCACAAGATTACCTATTATATTTATTATGTCTATTGTTTCTTGCTTAAATCTTAAGTCCAGTCCATTTATTAATGTATCTAAAGTTGTATTGTAAACATTCACTCTCATTTCATCACACTTAGTTTTAAAAACATGCTGTGTTTGGGTAGCATTATCTATTTTTTTAGATATTTTCCTATTTTTAATAGGAGGTATAATAATATTATGATTAATACAAACATTTTCTGTATTTTTAAAAATTAACTCAAATTCATCATATGAATTTCTCATTGAAATTAGTGAAGACTTAAGAGATTGAATATGTTTAACTGCAGATTAGATCCTTTGGATTTTGTAATGAAGAACTCACTTTTAAAACTAATTATAAAATAGGTTGCATCATATTCATACAAAAAATAAAATAAAATGATTTAATTTAACTTTTAAGTCCTAAGCCTTTCATTTTAACATCTGGCAGCAAACTCTTTTTATATTATTTCGTTCAAAGCTTTTAATAATGCACTATAGTTATTTTTAACAGCATTTACTGGCTTTAAGCGACATGCCCACCTTGTTGTTGAGTATGACTTTACCGTTTAAAGAATAGACCCACGTTCTTTAACTATATTTTCAAAAATAGCATGTCGAGTAGGGCTACCTTCAATGAAAGAGTATAAAAATTGAACAGACCCTAAAAAGTTAAATACTACTTGATTTTTGTTACTCATATTACTTGTAATTGAATAAATTAATGACAAATTTAAGCATTTAGCATAGCAATGCACATACAAAATGTTTGCATTCATCTCTTTAAATTTTCTTTGTACTCCAGCTATATTACCAGACATTGTTGAGGCCACATTAAAACCCACAGCAATTATTGATGACAAACCTATACCAAATTTGGAATGTATAATATTACTTATAGCTGTGAATATAGATTCAGCATTAACAGAAACTAACCGTACTAAATCAAGAAAAGTTTCAACAGGTCTATTCATTTGATCATCAAAATATCGTATAACGATTGAAAGTTGTTCATGATGGCCAACATCACTAGTTTCATCGGCTAAGATGGAAACATAAACATTTTGTAAATCTGCTTTTACTTTTTTAATAAGAACATTATGTATGGAACTAATTAGGTCATTTTGGATTCTATTACAGGTATATTTTGCATTTTTTGGGCCATTTTCAAAGTGTTCTTTCAAAATTATTTCATATTTAGCAAAAGTATTAACTATTTCTTTGAATAAACCCTTTTGATTACTTTTTTCTCCTTCATCGTAGCCTCTAAAAGTCTAAAAGGCCTTCCTCCTTTAACAAGACACAAAGTTATATCTATCAAACGCTTCATAATTTCTCTATTGTGCAAACGATCACTCTCACATTTGGAAATATATTCTTTTCTACTTGTATCAATTTTTTGATCAATAGAAGAAGTATTAAAGTAATCAGTAATTGCTTGGGTACTAAAAATATGGGATTTAGACATTTGATGTTTATTAAAACGATTAATACCTCTATACCAACTACAGAAACCAGTTTTAGAAAATGCATCGTCTAGTTGACTACTATTTAAATTATTACCCTTAAAAATCCTATATGGAAAACAAAATGCTAGGTCTTTAGATGAACTGTATTCTAACAATACATATTTTTCAAATCAGGTTTTTTGAAGTGATCTTTCTGATGCTCCTTGCATTGTTTTTGGATAAGATTCCATGTTTGGGCAGTATGGATCAGCTGATTTTCGATCTCTGAGTTCAAGACAATTAACTGGAAGTTGGTTTACCGGATCATTATTATGTAGGGGTACTAAAATACATAATTAGATTATTATTGCATAATAGTTTATAATAATATAAATAATATAAAAAAGGATAAATTATGTTATATGAAATAATCTAATGCCATTTGTGTTAATTTTATCAGTTATATCTAATAAAAATAATTATTAATAAATTATTAATGAAGTATTTCCTAAATTTCTATACAAAAAATAAAAATTTATTTTACTTTTTACATTTAAAAGTTGAGTATAGGTACCTACTACCTAACGATGTAAGTGCTGTCGTCACATTTTAGAAATTAAATTTAACAATAATTTGATCAAGACTATTTTTTAATATTTACTTAATTTATTAATTTTATTAATATTTATTATTTTAATAACAACTTACCAACACTAACTTTAGATACACTTGTATCAGTTTTATCTGCCAAAATATGATCTGTTACATCGGACATAGTTTTCATTGATGTATCAACTAATGCATTGGTTTCGTCAGGTTCAACATTACATTTGTCATCTAAAAATGAAAAATTATTTAAAAACCGTAATGTAAGGAGATAGAACAAGTACCTACTTAATTAACATTTGATTAAATTTAACAACAGTAAATAATTTGATCATGAATTTAAGACTATTTTATAAAGCTTACCTACTTAATTAATAATTTGTTAATATTATATTCATAACTTACCAAGTTACCAAACATATCATTTGATAAACTTGATTACTTGAATACATATTTTCGACTGTTATAAGATCTTTTATTTCGTTTATACCTAAAACACGGACTACTACGTGTAGTAGTCCGTGACCTAAAACGAGTAAAACCATAAAATATAAATAAATAAAAATATTTAATGATAGGTACTATGATGGAGTTAAATACTTATAATTGTAATTGACTTATATAGGTAATAAGTCAGTGGATACAACTTACCGATTCTATCATTGGATTGCCCAACAGCATTGGTATCAGATTTCGATATACTTGGCGTATTTGAAAGTTTTGAATTTTTTGAAAACATGTCCTTCAAGGCTTAAGATTAAAACATTTTTGGCTCGCATTCAAAAGCAACAATATTTTCTTTTCACGGGCTTTTTCAGCACCACCCTTTCGTTTACCGGACATGACACAACAGTAATGTTAAAAGTTACTTACTACTATTATAGTCTATATTAAATAATAATGTAGGCATTGAGCATTTGAGCAGTGAGCACATCGCAAGTAGCAAGTCGAATAATATCAAGACATGCGACTGTGCGACTGTGCGAGTGCAATACCAGTTACGTAATTGCTAATCGCTATTATTTAATATCGTCAATCACTAATGTTGTGGCGGGCCAGCAGCGTCATGGCATATACGATGCACAAGACGATATTACGATAACGTTACAAACCCAGTTTATTTTAAGATTTGTTGACCACAAAATAATGATAATATTTACGATTCAAATCATGGCTATTTTTTTTTATAGTAGACGGGTAAATAAGTTTTATACTGATAAATTCTATAATCATAAAATATTTTTATCTATATATTTTGACCAAAAACAAAAAATCATCTGTAGAAATATAATCTTACCGAGGTCAATTATTTAATATTTGCCAGCCCCGGTAGCCCCAAAGAAAGTCCAGGGGTAGCATATGTTGCCTCTGCTGCCCCCGTGCGCACGCCTATGCATAGAAAAGAATAACTAATTAAAAAATTATTCTATATTATATTAATAATATTCTGTTTCGGAATCTGAAATAAAAAATGTATCGTGTCTTCCAAAGAATTCAGAAACTCAAAAACTGATAACAACATATTATATTATATGTTACCTATATCTATCATCTATGGCAAAAGCCGATCGTCATCACCACGAATTAAGATATATCTTAATTCGTGGTCATCACTCATCGGAGACGATTCACAATTCTAATAATTTCGTTGAACAAAAGAGAAAAGTGTATGGCAACAATAAACGTCATTCACTCACATATTTCATTCTACTAAAGTAATTTTTTTCAGTTCGGATTTAGATGAAGAAAGAAGTTCCTCGATATGGCGTCTGCACTCAAGACATGGCCTTGCAGCTATATATTACCAGAAGAGTCGATGTATACGTAAGTTTGATTACCTATTCTTTTGGGGCTTACTTATTTTACTTTTTAGTCTCAAAATTAAAATTTAATGCCACAGACAATTTTCTACCCGGGTGAAATAGGGGCATATTTTTTGTTCCCGGGCGCGCAACACTTAAATAGATATAAATAGTGTTGTACATACTATATAGTCAAAACTACAGTAGTACAGTACAGTCAAGGAAGTTCTTATGTCCCTCAAAATTCAACAATTTTTATTTTTAGTTTATATAAATGTTAAGTAATATAATATGAATATTACTATGCCGTCTGCTTGTGGTCGAACCGTGAATTAAAGCGACGCCGTCGTACAATAAACATCAAATTATTTTATAAAGCTGGGAAAGTCACTCTGCTGATTATTGAATATCCATCGGAAATTAAATAAGAAAATTTTAAATTTTAAATATTCTCGAATAGCTTAAAATATACCTAACCAATGTACTCAAAATGAAAACATAAAATATTAATTATAAATTTCGTGCTCAACAGTAGGTATTCAGAGAAAAGATTTAACTTGGAATTTTACAAATTATAGTTAGTTAGTCGGTATACGCCATACGGTGAATATGATGTATTAGGCACTGAATACCTTTACGTTGTGCTTCGAATATTTAAACACCAACTTTATCAATCATTAAATTAAAAATTAAAATAATAGGTACTTTATATATTGTTGTAATTTAAATTTTAAAATTATAAACTATTTTTGTTAATGTTATATACCAGCTCTTTTCATTATCTTAATGATCAAATCTCAAACACGGACCTCTTTGATATAAAAATTTGTAATATAATATCTATCTATGGTTTTATTATATTGACGTAGTATAAATTATAATGCAATCCGTGGCGATTGTCCAAGTAGTTGCAAAGACGCAATCGATCTAAAATTTCAGTTAGCAAAGCAAAACTTAAGTTTTGTCATATGTATCTGATTTATTCCGCAGTGCACACACAATATTCAGGGATTCCGCCGAATCCCGAAAGCGTCGATGTTTAAAGTAATTAATTTTGGTTACATAATTTTTTGGCGCTTACATTTATTTTTTATACTTCAAATAAAAATTGAATTTTATAAAAAATATGCTACCCCTCTGTAGACACATATTTTATTTCTGAGAGTAAATGCATAAAATACGAGAGATCAAATAATATACAAACGCCGCTCGTCGTCGTCGTTTTTCAGCTCCCTGATCGAATTGTAATTTATTAATTATAACCTATTTTTAAGTAGGTACTTGAAATAGACGTATACATTATAAGGTTTAATTTAGAAATACCCGTTATAAGTGATTACTAATAAGACACAATTTTAATTTAGAATTTGTAATTTTTTTTAAATCCAAAGTTAGAAGTTGCAGGATACTAATAATTTAGTGTTATATATATTTCATTGTTCTATTTTATATTAATATTGCATTATATTATAGTTTTATCTAAAAAACAAAAATGTTCACAGAGTGATAAACTCACTATCCTAACCAGTAATCACTCGTACGGATTATGAAAAATATACTTTTATATTAGAATAGGTATCTTTATATAATATTGTAGACACAGGCGTTCAAATATCCTAAAATTTTGTAGTTATTCAAATCTAGATGTATACGAGTTAAAAAATTAAAGTTATTTCAATTTTAACTCTTTAACTTCTTCAAGATTTCGAGCGGAGCGATGAATTTATTGATTTTACAATTTATTTTTTAAAGTTTTTTTGTTTCTGTCTTCACGTTATTTTGGGAGAGTAAAAGTGCTTCGATTTTCTTCAATAGCATCTTTTCTTTTTGAAATGTGAATGGTATCGGTACTTCGAGGGGTCCAAATCAAAAATTTCTCAATAGTTTTCAAAAGCGGTAGAAAAAAACAAACAAAAAATTAAGGAAAAAAAGTGAATTTTTACAGAAACCCGGTTTCGACCAAATAGATTTTGGTTTTTAATGTAACTCTCAAAAGAAAAAAATACCGTGGATATACATGACATTTTTACTGAATATTTATAACGGCTTTTTCTATAAACCACACAATTTTGACAACACATTTTTATAAGCGTTTGAATTATGAATTTTGACAAAATTAGTATAAGTCACAAAAATGTGCAAAATATTTTGAGTTTGAAATTCATAAAAAATTTTCGTTTCAAATTAAATTTTTATGAGCATTTGAAGTTGACATTTTGACAACATTGAATATTCACTCCATTTCTCATATAGTGATTTTTACTTATTTTTTTGTAACTGAAAACCCAATAATTGCAGATATTTGAAATTTTTTTAGTTTATTTAGTTTTGCTTTTTTATAATAATTGTTAATAAAATTGTATTTGTTGGGCAAAAAAGCTTGATAATTCAATAAAATGCTCTTGATAGATATTTACAATATTAGTTGCAAAATATTTAAAAGCATACGCACGATTTTTTTAATGAGTATTTAGAGTTTAAATTTTAACAAAATCATTTGAAAATTACAAATAATTTTATTATTTTAAATTTTTGAAATATTCAAATTTTGTAGTTTAGGGTTGAAAATTCAAAACAAAGTTCCAAGCAAATAGGTTATTCTGTTATTAAAAAATCAATAAAATACTATCACAGATTTTTTATGTTCAAATGTGAACTAAATTAAAGATTAAATTACCAAGAATAATGATTGATGTTATTTTGTTGTAAACTTGTAAATTAAAAATTTTATTCGTGGGTAATTGAAACTTTTAAAGTATACTATTATATTTTATACCCTCAATGACTTTTCAAATGTACTTTTTTTTAATGAATTTAATCTACTGCGTAGTACTAATACTTACTAGTAAAATAAATTACTTTAATCATAATAATATCATCGAATATACTAAATTTTTAAGTAATATTATAGACTCACAAACCGTCTTCGCTCAGAATCGTTTTTC